ACTGTCCAGGACAGTTAGGCAGGAGGGCGGCTCCTGCTGGATCCCCCTTCTCTGCTGTGCAGAAGGCAGGTGGGCAGGTCCTGGTAAAGACAGGGAATCCATGAAATAACCAGGTCGTGGCCCCACCACAGCTGGGGTCTCAGAAGAAGGACCCACATGAGCAGCACCGCCAGCCCAGCCGTTTCTGCTCTGCAGTGCCACACCTAAGGCCAGGAGCCTCGGCACCTTCTCACTCTGCAGACACTGAGCCAGGCTGCCCTGGGGCTGCGGGTGCAGTCGTGGGAAGAGCCACAGGTCCCAGAGGACAGGAAACAGTGCCCACAGACCTTGAGGACAGTGATATCTTAGGACATCCCTTCCAAGGGAAAGACCTGCTCCCGCCTCTGGTCTCCTCCACAGAGGAACCAATGGGGCTCAGGTCGTGCAGGGAGTACACACCATGTCTGTGCCTATCGCTCCGTGCAGTGCCACAGCTTCTCAAGCCAAGAACAAGAGAAGACTGGGCACTTGGCCAGCAGACCTAATGCTGCGTGACGAGTCCCTGGCAGACAGGGACACTGCTAGAGCCACTTGGCAGCACCCTGAGGAACCATCACAGGCCCATGACTATTTCTTTCTTTTCTTTTTTCTGTGTGTGTGTGTGTGTGTGTGTGTGTGTATGCATGTATAGTGTTGTGTTGTATGAGAATGACCATGGATTACTGTAAACTGAATCAGGTGGTGACTCCGACTGTAGCTGCAGTACCAGATGTGGTTTCCTTGCTTGGACAGATTAACACATCTCTTGGTCCTTGGTATGAGCTATGGATCTGGCAAATGCCTTCTTCTCCATACCTATCCATAAGGATCATCAGAAACCATTTGCCAGCAATACACCTCCACTGTCTCGCCTCAGGGGTATATCAACTCACCAGCCCTGTGTCATAATTTAGTTCTCACGGATCCTGATCATTTTCCTCTCCCATGTGACATCACACTTGTCCATTACACTGATGACAGTATGCTAATTGGGCCTAGTGAGCAGGAGGAAGCAACCAGTCTAGATTTGTTGGTACAGCGCTTGAGTGCTAGAGGATGGGAAATAAATCCAACAAAAATTCCAGGTCCTTCCACCTCAGTGAAGTTTCTAGGAGTCCGGCGGTGTGGAGCATGTAGAGACATTCTTTCTAAGGCAGAAGACAAGTTGCTGCATCTGGCTTTCCCTACAACCAAAAAGAGGCACAGCACCTAGGAGGCTGTTTCGATTTTGGAGGCAACGCATTCTTCAGTTAGGTGTCGGGCTCTGCCACTCCACCAGGAAAAGAGCCATGTCTGCTGAGGTGCTTGCTGAAGGCCAAGGGAACACAGAGTGGGTAGTGGAAGAAGGTGGCTCTAAATACCAGCCATGACCCATGATCAGTTACAGAAAAGAGGGTTGTATTTCTCCCCTAATATGGTTCTAATGTAATATTGGTAGGCTTACCACTGGTTCTTATGGATTGGTAAGCTATGTTATAACGTTCAAGTTGTGGGTAGATAAGCCTCACCCAGAGAAAACTCACCTTCTATTCTGGTGAGGGAATTAGTATGCTTTCATTTGTAAGCAGGCTAGTTATAACTTGTTAGGTGTGATTGTAAGCATGTTTTTCTATCTGGAGACTAATGTAAAGAAACGTGTCTGCGTGCCAAGTTGACAAGGAGTGGATTGTTAGTTTATACACCGTGCCAAAGGGAAAAGTCTAGAAGCTTAACCAAGTGACTCAGCAGCTCTGCATCCTGGGCCATGGGGGACGGGCTGTTCCCTCTCTAGGGTATGGTTCACTGTGTCAGTTTGAAAGGGTCAGAACTGTAACTAAGGGGTTCAGCAGGGGCCAGGGTCCCTGGTCTGTACATCCGCAGCCTGTGCCGGAGAAGGGCAGGGGGATGGGGTGAGCACTGCACCAAGGCAGGGGAACAGCCTGCATACAGTAAAAGGCACACACAGAGGGACCGATTGCTGGTTCTTTGGAGGAACTTCGGTCTTCTCCTTCAGCTTGGACCTCGTGTCCTGGCTTCTGGCACAGACTGTTCAGTTTCTGCCTGAGACTCTCCAGCCTTCGTGGTAGACTCTGCAGCCTCCCATCACAGACCCATTGGGCTCCTGATGCAGACTTGCACTGGACACTGCAGTGAGCTCCACCCTTGGGCTAGACCTTCAACCTCTGGTGTAAAGATGCCCTCTGCACTCTCCTTCATCTGACTTTGTGGCTGAGCATTATAAGCTAATCTTGTAATTTCTTATACATTTGAGTATCTCATGTTATATCTATTTCTCCAGTAAACGCTCATTGCTACAGCAGCCACCCTCAGGAAAGCATCACTGAGTGGCCCACCTGCCAGGAACAGAGACCAACATCAAATCTCCATGGGCCACCACTTCCCAAGGGATTCATGAGATCCCTGGTGGCAGGCTGAGCACCGTAAAGCACTTCTGGGCGGGGGTCTCGCTGGATGCTATGCCTGGGATACAGCTGTGCCTTCCTGCCCCCGAGCTCCTGCCAGAAGCACCCTCCAGGGACCAAGGGACCTGTACCTCAGGAGGATCCTGAGGGTCTGGGATGTGTCCTCTGGGAGTTGTGTAGGCATCAATGATGGTACTTCTTCTCTAGAGTCACTTGAATCACAGAATCAGGGAGCCTGAATGGAGTGGCTCCCCTCAGTAACCCGCCATGGTTGGCTGGCAAGATGTCTGCCTTGGGGACTTAGCTCAACGGCCTTGCAAGTGTAAGGTCTTGAGTTATGTCTCCGGTCCAAAAAAAAAAAGATGTCTGCTTCCCCTGATCCACAGCATGAGGCCCAGCCTGCAGCAGCCAGTGTCCCAGGAAAGAATGTCCCCACTGTTGCAGCAACACTGATTCTGGGAAAGGAAGTCTGGAGGCAGTGAACAGCTTTATTTTACATCAGGGTTCCTATCTGGGATTATTTCCAATCAACAAAGCCAGCAACGAGCATATGTGGGCTAGTACTTTTACATGAGGTATAAACAAGAGTTACAAAGTCATGACAGGACACCCTGGCAGTTAACTGATTAGCTAACAGGGTGTGCTCATTGGTTACAGGGCTAAAGAGCAGGGGGCCTGTTACAATCAGGCATCTTTCGTGTTCAGCTACACTCTCAAGGGTGCAGGGGTCAAGAGAGTAATTACAAAGCCGTTAAGCAATTACAGAGCTAGGCAGTTTCAAATAGAACAAAGTTTTAAAAAACAGTTTTTCTGGTACATTTTCCTTTTCACTGCCATGGGCTCACTGACAGTGCTGCTCAGTCAGAAGTGGACACTGTCTCCTGGCTCCTTGGGGCTCCTCACACAAGTGAATCAATAGGCAAAGAAAGAGTCAGGTGTGCCAGTGCACCCCTATAATCCCAGCAGACTGGGAGGCCAAGGCAGGAGGATCACAAGTTTGAACCCAGACTGGGACAATGTCTCAAAAATCAATCAATCAATCAATCAATCAATTACACACACACACACACACACACACACACAACTTCACACAAAATAGGCAAAGGAGCGGTCCTCTCAGCATGGTCAGGAACGAGGCAGCTTTAACATATGCAGGTTGCTGTGGCTGATTGCTATGCATGGGGCCTCAGGGTCCCCCTCATGCTCCTACCCTTTGTAAAGTCCACGGGAAGCCCCACCAACCAGTGTTTCTATGGCCACTGCATAGCCTGAACCTTGGCCAACTGACGTGCTTGATGGCAGGCAGAGAGTACCAACAGTATGAAGAGCTGGGCACAAAAGTGACCAAGGCCTGTGTGGCAGGAACAGAAATGAGCAGCTGCCGGGGCTGGATCACACTGCACTGGCCCTGGGTCAGTGGATGTGATACACCTACTTGGCAGAATTCCTGTCCCCGTGTGTGGCCTGGTGGCCATGGATCATGGGGACCTTCTACACACGGTCCATGGTGGGCAGTGGGCAGTAGCAGCCATGCCTCATGCTCAGAGGTCAGTGGATAAGCCCAGTGGTCATCACTGGTCATCACAGTGTGACTGCCCTCCAACTAAGGGTCAAAGCAATAGCACCAGGCAGGGGACAAGTGAAAGTGTGCCCAGGGAGTGGGACACCTTCGAAGAAAGCATCTCTCCAGAGATGCTGAGATCTGACCTGAAGGAACACCGGAGACAACCATGTGGAAGGGCTGCCTGCCAAGCAACCTGTCACCTGGGAAAGTGAGGACAGATGGAGATGATTCCAGAGGAAGGGGACTGGAGACCCCCTGCCCAGAAGCACACAAGGTCTGGGCTGGAGTTTTGGCCATGAAGCCCCTCAATGGGTGGGTCTCTGTTTTAGTTACTTTTCTCTCATTATTGGGATAAAAATACCTAAGGCACAGAATTAAAGAAGAGAAGAAAAGGTTTATTTAGCTCACAGTTTGTAGAGACTTGAGTCCATAATCAGCTGGCTCCAAGGCAGGGTGGCACATGGCAGAGGGCAATCGTTATGGTGGAGGAAGACCGAGAAAGCAACAAGAAAAAAAAAAAAGCAACAAGAGCAAAAGAGGCAAAAGGGAGGAGCAAGCTTCTTTCTTTCCCTTATATTGCATGCAGACTACCTATCCCAGGGTAGGTGTAGCATTCACACTGCCAATCCCAGCGCTAGACAATGAACAAATCACAAACTCTAGATTCAGCCACCTCCAAAAAGCCCAGCTCCACGACTGCATGAGGTCCTTAGGGAACATCTAGTCACAAACCAAATCACTTACGTCGGGATGTGGTTCAGTGGTAGATTATTTTCCAAGGATGCCAGAGGCCTTGGTAGGATCCCTAGTATGGTTTAAAAAATTGATACTAATGATAAAAAAAAAAAGCAAAACAGAATTCCATCTCCCATGTCCTGTCCCACTTTTCACAATGCCACTGCCCAGACTCTCTCACAGGCCTTATTTTTATTTATTTTGGGAACCCCAATGTGGAAATTGGGTTGGCTGGTCTGGAATGAGGGCCACTCCCCATGAGTAATAACCTCCAAATCCTGCCTGCCTCCAGCCCCACCTCTTTCCTACTTGCCAGCTTAGACTATTTAAAAACCGTAGTTTTCCTCTCCCTAAAGAAGATCAACACCATGCAACTGAATTTCAGCGGCCTGCGGGCCCTGGTAACAGGGGCAGGGAAAGGTAAGTGTATGCAGGAAGCCTGGGTGCCAGAGGCTGGGAGAGAGCAAGGTGGATTCGACTGAGACCCAGGACTACACCACAGATTGCCCCATCACCACCCAAAAACCATACTACCCTGGCAGAGCTGCCTGGAGTCCCACTAAGCCAAGATGCCAACGAAAAACCCCTGAGAAAACGGAGCTGGTCTTGGCTCCAGGGCAGCCCCTAAACTCAGGCTGGGGATCAGGGGTTCAACAATAGCACTCTCTCTGGGGCCAACTGGGAGGCAGCTGCCTGCGGAGGCTCCTTTGGTCTGATTGTTCCTGGTCAGCTTGGTCCTCTGACCTGGCCTAACAACTTCTCACCCCTCTGAAGCCAGCTTGGCCAGGCTCCCAGCTCCACATAGACACAAGTCTCCCTTGCAGGGATCGGCCGGGACACCGTGAAAGCCCTGCATGCCTCAGGAGCCAGTGTAGTGGCTGTGAGCCGCACTAACACCGACCTTGTCAGCCTCTCCAAAGAGGTGAGGCATGGGATCTCCAGGGCGGAGTCGGCATTCCACCACTGGCTGATGCCTCAGGGGCCACCCCACAACGTCTCCACAGTGTCCCGGGATAGAGCCTGTGTGTGTGGATCTAGGCAACTGGGAGGCCACAGAGCAGGCACTGGGCAGCGTGGGACCTGTGGACCTGCTGGTCAACAATGCTGCTGTGGCTCCATTGCAATCCTTCCTGGAGATCACCAAGGAGACCTTCGACAGGTGGGAAACATTTGGGACAGCAGTTGGGTTGGGAACAGAGTCAAGCTGACAAGGGGCTGCTGAGCTCGGGTGGGTGGAGATGGGTGGTCACAATCCCTCTCTCTGCCAGGACCTTCAACGTGAATGTGCGTTCTGTGATTCAAGTGTCCCAGGTAAGTCAGTGGGAAGGTGTGGCCTGGTACCATCTGGCTGGGGAGGAAGTGGGGGTGAGCTGCCCCCAACTCTTGGTTTCCAGTTCGTGGCCCGGGGCATGATCGCCAGAGGAGTGCAGGGATCCATTGTCAACGTCTCCAGCATGGTGGCCTATGTAACTTTTCCCAACCTGCCCGTCTACAGTGAGTACATTCCACCCACGAGGGAGGCCCTGGCTCCAGCCCATCCTCCTGGGAAAGATGCAATCTTGAGTGGTCCTTGTGTTGCCCTCCCAACAGGCTCCACTAAGTCTGCATTAACCATGCTGACCAAAGCAATGGCCTGGGAGCTGGGGCCCCACAAGGTGAGTGTGGGGGCAGAAGCTGGGCACAGTCCCAAAGGGCCAGAGACAGGCAGGGACTGGGGGACCAGGACAGGGATTTGAGGATAAGCAGGTGGCCCAGGCCTAGGGCCAGAGAAGAATCTGAGCAGTAGAGTCAGGGGTTAGCTGAACAGAAGTGAATTCAGTCCTGGGGGTCCAGGGGATATAGAAGGGGGCTAATTCACAGGCTGAGGCTGTCAAACCTGGCCCTGGCCCTAGATCCGAGTGAACTCTGTGAACCCCACGTTGGTGCTCACCGCTATGGGCAAGCACGTTGTGCCCGATCCTGAGATGGCCAGAAAGCTGAAGGAGCGCCATCCGCTGAAGAAGTTTGCAGGTCAGGGGGTACAGTGGATGCCTGGGAGGGGGAAAGCCGAGCCATCCCCTGACATGCATGTGGTTCCGCAGAGGTGGAAGACGTGGTCAACAGCATCCTGTTCTTGCTCAGCGACCGAAGCGTCTCTATCACCGGCTCGGGGATCCTGGTGGACTGCGGCTACCTGGCTTCCTAGGACCGCACGGTTTGCACCCGGCAGGCGAGCACTGCGCAGACGCTGACTGGCCCGGCCCACTGCATGCCCACTGGCCCGCCCACTCGCTAGTGCAAGCCCCGCTCTTCTAGATCACAAGGTCCAGGGTCCACCCCCGGCCTCACCTAGAACTGCTCCCTGGACGCTGCCCCACTCGGACTCCGCCCCCTCCGCACACACACTCACTTCTAAGCAGACCAAGTCCAGCTGCCACGCCTCTCCTCCCCCATCCCGTCCCTACCCGGAGACCACTCCCCATCTGCGGGGTCCCCGCAGCGACCCGGACACTGCATAAATAAATGGATGCCATTTTCCGGTACCCGCGAGAACCAGAGTTCTGAGTGGGCATCTCGCGAGCGGCGGGAGCCTCAGGGACCGGGATGGGGTTGCCACCTCACAGCGAGTCCCCTCAATCGTGGACCGGTCAGCAGTTCTTCACTGGAGGGTGCGCTCCCCGCAATCCACCAGCCCAGGGCCAAGGCTGAGCCGCCTCTCCCCACCTGACACCACGCGCCTGGGCGCCCCTGACCCCTGTCTGCCAACCAGGAGAGGCCTTGGACTGGGGCACCCTTAGGTCCAGCTCTCAGAGGGAGGGAGTGCATCAAGTGTAGCCCTACCTCCTCTGGCACTGTGCTTGTGCTCAAAGCCCGTTTTTCACCCTCCTCTGCCCTGAACAGAGTACAAAAGTCCTGCAGCCCAGAGCTGGCCAGAAAGTCCTGCTGGCCTCGTGTTTGTCAACACTGCCAGTGCGATCTGAGAGGCTATCTGGCCTGAGGTGGCCAGTAGCTGGCCACCTAGCTTCAGTAGGCTCCAACCCTACCCAAGGGACAGATGGCCAGGCACTGGGGCAGTAGCTGGGAGAGCACAGGGTACTGGGTGGGTATGAGGGGTGCTGAGATCACTTCTGAGCAGGCAGCTGGCCAGGGAGCAAGGTCTGAACTGCTGCTGTCTTGGGCCTGTCTGGCCAAGGACTGCAGGACAGACAGTGAGCAAGCTGTGGCTACTCCTGGGACAGAGCTTAGCTGCTGAAGGGGTCTAAGGTGATGTACCCTCCAGGAAAGTCAGCTTGGGGACTTTCCCTCCCTTAGGACTCTGACAAGCAGAGAGCAAGGTCCAAGGTTAGGAGCAGAAGATAGGGTTCCGGGGGCCTTTCTGGAGTTGGTGAGGAGGACAAAGGCCTGGGGGCATCTTCCAGGAACTTCTCAGATCCACGCTCCCACTGCCTTGGTCATCCCTGCTCCAGCCTGTCCACCCTTCTGTGTGCAAAGGCCCTACCACATGTATGTCCTACTAGTGGCCACAGACAGTCCCTCAGTGACCCACAGTATAAAAGCCCAGGGTCATGTTTATAAGAGAACGTAAGCTTGAGTAAGGGGTGTTCACCATATACTTCCGTCTCCCCAATCCTGTCCTCTCCCATCCAGTTCTTTGGGGTGCTAGAAGCTAGGTTTAGAGGCCCATATCTGTAATCCCAGCACTCAGGAGGCTGAGGTAAGAGGATCTCCACAATTTCAAGACCAGCCTGAAACACGTATCAGGACTATTTGTGGAATAACTTTGTTGCTATGGTGTCATCTTCAGTCTTGTTCTGTTGTCCCAATTATTTCTTTTTGAACTTGGGGACCTGCTGTCAGAGCCAGTCCTTAGGAAGGGGCGCATGTGAAGCTTCTACGGATATATCATGTTAACGCCGGGCTCTCCATTTCATGCATAGCTGCATGTCCCTTCAGGCATTTACTACATCTGTTCTTTTCTTTCTTTCTTTCTCTCTCTCTCTCTCTCTCTCTCTCTCTCTCTCTTTCTTTCTTCCTTTCTGTTTTCTGTCTTTCTGAGACAGAGTCTCACTATGAAATTGAGTTCACTTTGTAATCCAGGCTGGTCTTGAACTCATGACAGTCCTCTTGCCTCAGCCTCGAGAGTGGAGTGCTGGGATTATAGGCATGCACCACCACTCATGACCATCTATTCTTTTTATTTTTCTTCATGTTTTAATTTATGTTCAATCCCCAGTACCAAAAAAATTTAATTTGTATTAGTACTCTTTGCAGAACATAATGATTACACTTACCGTGGGGAATTGGCACATGTACATTACACATCTTAATTATTTTTCATCCCCTTGCCCTCCCTGCTCTCACCCTGCCACCATCTCTTGGTCCCTTTCCATTTGCAAGAGATATTTCCTATTATCTTTTGCTCTTTTTTTATGCTCTGGGTTTTTCATGTAATAGAAACCATGCGATATTTCGGTTTGTGTCTGGTTACCACTATTCTTTATAATAATCCTTTTGTCATGGAAAAGCATGCTGACCCGAATTCCCTAAACCAACCCACCCACTAGAGTGGTCAGTCCTGGGTTCTTTGAAAAGCCCCGCCCCAGCCTCGCCCACTGTCCTTCAGCCAATCATTCTCTAGGAGAGCCTACATTTGAATATCCCCGCCCCCTCCCCCAAGGCCTCACTGGGATCTTCCCACCTCGCTGGGTCCCCGCTGAGTGCGTTGGGACGCGCCGCGATGGAGCTGGGCTTGGCAGGCCGCCGCGCGCTGGTCACCGGCGCCGGCAAAGGTGGGCTGGTGGGTGGGAGCGGGCCAAGCTGGTCGACAGGCGAGGGTCGAGGGCCAGGCGGGTGCACCCACGCTGAGCCGAGCTCCCTACAGGCATCGGGCGCAGTACGGTCCAGGCTCTGTGCGCGGCAGGCGTGCGCGTGGTGGCCGTGAGCCGGACGCAGGCCGACCTTGACAGTCTAGTGGGCGAGGTAGGGCTGCGGCAGTTGGGACCTTCAGAACCCCTTCCTGGGAGCGCTGCTAGCGTGGGCGACCCTGGGCTTGGGAGGAGGCCGAAGTGTTTGCTGAGCCGGACAGGCGGCCAGGAGCGCTGGGGTAGGAAGGAAGTGGACTGCGGGAGGCGGGTCTGACTCTCGGCCGTGCCGCCCAGGATCTGCTCACAGGCGCCCCCTAGAGCTCCGACCCCTCCCAGCCCCTCCTTCCCGCGTGAGCCCCTTCCCTCGGGTGAGAGAGGCCCAGCTGGGCCCCTTCTTGGCTGTGAAGCCACAGTAGTAGTGCCTCACCCCAATACACACAGTGTCCCGGGGTGGAGCCTGTGTGTGTGGACCTGGCCGACTGGGAAGCCACCGAGCGAGCCCTGGGCAGCATGGGCCCTGTAGACCTGCTGGTGAACAATGCTGCTGTGGCACAGTTGGAGCCTTTCCTGGGGGTCACCAAGGAAGCATGTGACATGTGAGCCAGCGGAGAAGAGGGAACCCTGGGAGGGGAGGGGCTGTTTCCTCTAGCTCCCTGCCCCTGACCACATCTGTCTGTCTATCCACCACTAGGTCTTTCAACGTGAACCTGAGGGCTGTTATCCAGGTGTCCCAGGTGAGCATCCCCCTGGGCCCTGAACTCTGAAGTAGGTCAAGTTTGCTGATTTCCTTTTGTGATTTCAGATTGTGGCCAGGGGCATGATAGCCCGGGGAGTGCCAGGGACCATTGTCAATGTCTCCAGCCAGGCCTCCCAGCGTGCGCTGGCCAACCACAGTGTCTACTGTGAGTGGTGCTTGCTGTACTCTGACCCCCCACCTTAACCCTAGCCAGCTTGGGCCCAACAATGTCCTCCCTCACAGGCTCCATCAAGGCTGCCCTGGACATGCTGACCAAGATGATGGCTCTAGAACTTGGGCCCCACAAGGTGAACAAGCTCGGTTGTCCCTGTCACTCAGCCGATCTGCCCAGAGCACCCTGCCTGTCCTGCTGAGCTCTGCTTGTCTGTGCAGATCCGTGTGAATGCAGTGAATCCCACCGTGGTGATGACGCCCATGGGCAAGGCCAACTGGAGCAACCCCGACAAAGCCAAAGTCATGCTGGACCGGATCCCACTTGGCAAGTTTGCCGGTGAGTCAGGCTGGAGCCCAGGCTGCATCCGTGGTCCCCTGTGCCTGCTTGGGGTCCACGGTCAGGAGGAACAGCGTGACTTCTTCTGGGTCCTTGACTGCCACCTCCCTTACAGAGGTGGAGGATGTGGTGGATGCCATCCTCTTCCTGCTGAGTAACCGAAGTGGCATGATCACAGGATCCACTTTGCCAGTGGATGGTGGTTTCTTGGCCACCTGAGCTGCCTCCAGCCGTGCACACTTCTGCTCCCCTCTGATCACGCCCCAACTTTCCTTCCAATAAATCTGACTCTTGCCCTGGCTTGGAGCTGATTTCTAGGTAAACAGAGATCTACTAGATTCACAATCTAGGCCAACTGCAGACTTTCAGACCTGGTCAGCTCTCACCAGGAAACAAACCTTCCAGAAGGCTGGTTCTTAAAGGGTGGTGAGTTTGACCCAGAATGGCTATTGGCCCTGCCCAGATACCTGTGGGTAGAGCCCGGGAGTGCTTGTAAATGTTCAACAGCCAGGTCTGACTTGGGAACGCTTGCAGTTCACCAGTAAGGCACATGTATGACAGACGTTCCTAACTCACCAAGGACTGAGCAACTTCTCTGCTGAAATGGGAATTGTTTTCTAATACTAGAATAATACTTCCCAAAATTCTTGTGCTATTTACAAAGGCATGAGGACAGGGATGGCATATGTAAGCTGCTTCTACCCTTGCTCTGTCAGGTCAAGTCTAGATGCTGGTGATGAATCGAGCCCTCGTCTGTGGAATCTGATCAGGTGGAAATATGTGCAGCAGGGCTAATTTTAAGCTGATGTCACTGGATCTGCTTACGTGTGCAGTAACACCTGGTTAAACATGACAGAAGCACAGATGACAATGTGTAAAAACAGTTAAGGTGTTATATGTCTACTTTTTTTTATTTCCTGAGACAAGAGCTTCACTGTATTTGTTCAGGCTGAACTTGAAGTCTGTATGTAACCCAGGCTGGCAGGCCTGGGTGCTATAGCCAGCACACACCACCATTTCTGTGCCTCTGTCTGCCTTGGCCCCTCTGCCTGATGTCTTTAATACCAACCAAAGGAGGCCAGCTATGGTGGCGTAAGCCTGTAATTCCAGCACTCAGGAGGCTGAGACAGGAGGACTGCCATGAGTTCAAGGCCAGCCTTAACTACATAGTGAGACCCTGTCTCAAAACAAAAACAAACACAGGAGGTAGGGGGTATTGTGGGGAGCTGCTGGACAGTGCAGCCAGCACACTCCAGTGTGTCTCCCAGATCTCAGGGCAGCACTGCACCTGCCAGCACCTGAAGGTATGCCAGGCACCTGTCCCGTTTTGACCTGGTGTCTTGGGTGGTGGCAGCCTCTCTTCCTTGGGGGTAGGGTGCCAAGCTCAGAGTCCTCTAGGAACTCATACACTGAGGCCTTCTGCACTCCCAAACCTAGGTAGAGGGTAATGAGAGGCAGGAGACGTTGGTGAAGAATGTTTATTGTATAAAATAAGAAGGGGCTGCCCCTTCCATGAACCCAATAGACAGATCCCCCCCCACCCTCCCCATCAGGGAAGCCCGTCCTGGGGCTGCCCTGGACCTGTCCCTGCAGCCCTGAGGGAGACCCTGCTCCCTCCCAGCCTCCCATGGGGGCCAGGGAAGGCTGAAGCTGCACCCCAGAAAGAGGAGGCAGAGGGGACAGGACCCCATCACCCCAGCCTTGTCCCCATGCTTCCCTTCCCCCCGTCACTCCCCACAGCAGACTCAGACACCAGACAGCTTGACACGACAGCACATTCGGACCAGGGGCTGCTCCTCCACCAGGCTGGCCCAGGGGCAGGGGCTCTAGGCTCTAGAAGACTGTGCACTTCTTGCCTGGCTTTTTCACAGGAGGTGGGCAGAGCACTGCCCGGATGGCCTCATCGAATACTGTTTTCAGGCCCCGCTGGGTCAGGGCCGAGCACTCCAGGTATTTGACAGAGCCTGGGACAACAGCGTGGAAAAAGGGACAGTGAGGCAGGGGACAGGAGAGTGTGAGGCAGTAGGGCGGGGCCAGAGAGCAGCACAGGCAGGGCAAGCCCCACCTCAGCACATGCCCTCTCCTTTCCGCCTGGGCTTCATGGGACCCACTCACCAATCTCTCGGGCCATGGCCAAGCCCTGTGGGTAGGTGATAGGTGCCAGCTTCTTGTCCCGCAGCCGCTCGATGGTGTCCTTGTCATCACGAAGGTCAAGCTTGGTGCCCACTAACAGGATTGGCGTGTGGGGGCAGTGGTGCCGTACCTCTGGGTACCACTGCAGGGACAAAGGTTCTGACCCTGAAGGCATTGTGGCCCTCCATGCCTAGGGGCAGCCCCCTTAGCCAAGCCCAGAGCAGGCCACAGATCTTGAGGCCTCTTCCTCACCACCCCTGGACACATGCTTGGTTCTTCCTGCCCTTGGGGTGACCGGGGAGGGACTGATGACTTGGTGTGGAAATGACGGGAACAAAAATGCCCAGCCAGGAAGCCCTGTGGTGTACCAGGGGCCCCACTCTGGGAATATCACCACCAGTGGTGAGATGGCCCTCCATTCCATCACTTCCTGCTCTCCCTCCCCCAGGGCCACCCTCAGTGCCTTTGAAGGACAAGCTGCTTTCAGGCAAGAGGACCCTGTCCCATCAGGACAGGTCCTGAGGCAAACCCTCTCCCTGGCAGACTCCTCCAGCCCTGCCCTACCTTGGCACGAACATTCTCAAAGGAAGCCGGGCTCACCAAGGAGAAACAGATCAGAAAGACATCCTTGGGAGGAAGGGACAGGCAGGAGCAGTCAGGAGGGGTCTAAATGGCCCCTGTGCTTTCCATCCACTGGAGCCACCCATCTCTCAGGACCAGCCCCGATGTCACCTACAGTTTGGGGATAGGAGAGTGGCCGCAGCCGGTCATAGTCCTCCTGCCCAGCAGTGTCCCATAGCCCCAGGTTGACAGGCTTCCCGTCCACCATCACGTTGGCTGAATAGTTGTCAAAACTGTAGAGCAGAGTGAGAAAGGCCAGGGTTGGGCAGCAGTCCCAGGCCACTGAGGCCACCAGCCAGCTTGTGTCCTCAGATTTGGACAGAGCTGGAACTTTGTCCCACTGCGGAAGCTCAAAATCAAGGCCACCTGCCCAGGGTCCTGTGCCCAGGGGAACCCCATACAAGTGTGCCCATCCTCCAGTCCTGTCTTCCTCTCCTCCTCCCAAACACAAGCACTCACACAGTGGGGATGTATTCTCCAGGGAAGGCGTTGGTCGTATAGCTGATCAGTAGGCATGTCTTCCCGACAGCACTGCAGGTAGAAACCAGCACACAGCTCACTATGCAACCTGGGGCCAGTTTCGGTGGCAGGGCTGATGACAGGGGCCCAGCCCTACAGATTTGCAGCTACCTGAAGCTGCAGGAGGGTAACCTGGGCAGGCCAGCCTTCAGGTACGAAATGGTGGGGCAAGAGAGCAGCCCCCAGACCTGAATCAGATACGCGGCCACAGCTCAGGAGCTCCGGTTCCTGGGTGGGCGCGGCTGCCCCAGGCTCACGCAGGTGAGACCGACCCCACCCACGGCGGAAGTGAGGCTGGGGCCAGGCAGCATCAGGTGGGCCCCAGCAGAGGCCAAAGGATGGGGGCCACGCCCATGCCCCTGGACCACAGTAGCTGCGAGGGTCCGCCCAGCCTGGACCTCGTGTTGGCCCCCCCACCTTCCCGGGCCGGGCCGCGCCCTGAGCCGCGGTGCTGGCCAGCTCCGCCGCCCCCAGCTCCTTGGCCCCGGGACCCGGACCACACACTCACCCGTCACCAACCACCACGCACTTGATGGCCTGCATGGGCGCGGGGCCAGGCAGCGGCGGGCGCGGCCGCAAGCCGAGCTGCGGAGAAATGCCCAGCACCGCAGCGGCCGCGGACCCGAGCGCCGAGTGAGCGGCCGGAGACAGCCGAGCGCCGCCGAGCGCCGGGCGCGAAAACAGCCGAGCGCACAGTGCGCAGAGGGCGGGGTAGGCAGCTGAGAGCGGCGGAGGGGCGGGGCGGGGCGGAGCTGGGCGCAGCGGAGGCGTCCAGTGGGGTCCAAAGACCAGGGGCTTTTAGCCGTGGGCTCTGCATCAAGGAGAGGGCCGGCGCGGGCTGGCAGGGCTGGTGTGCGGCGCTGCCCACGCTTCCATGAGCCCACGTGCGGGCTCATGCGGCACCACTCCAAGTGCAGAAGAGCCCCAACAGTTCCAGCCACTGGTAGCAGTTGGGCGACCCAGCCCCACCTCGGAGGGCCCCCCACGGGACTGTCCCCAGCTTATGGAGAAAGGCGCTAGACCAAAACACCACCAAGTGCCAAAGTTCTACATTTAAGAAAAAAGTTCTGTATTTCCCGCCACACTTTGGCGGCGCAGCTGCCGAGCTCCGGTCAGACCTCTCTTGTGCAGCATCGCATCGCTGTGGGTGACAGAAAGAGCGCCTCACTGGGGTCAGCGACAGGGAGCCATGTGGTTTCCTCGGCTCCCCTCACTTCGGAGGGCTCAAGGACCTCAGAGGGGACCCCTGCACGTAAGTCAGGATGGCGTTCTGCAGGAAGCTTGCCCTCTGGGCTTCCTCGTCCCGGATGCGTGCGATCTCCGCCTCCTTGAGCCGCAGCTTCTCCCGGAGGGACGCGTTCTCACTCTCCTTGTCCAGCAGCGCTTCCCGGTGGTCACTAGCGATCACTACAGGCGGGAGACTCGGTGAGTTGGGGCCAGTCCTGGGGCGAGACTGCCTCAACTCAGCCCTCCAGCTAGGAGTGCAGTCACCTTTCAGCTGGCGTTCCAGAGCGGCCACCTTCTCCTTCAGGGACTCCTGGCCTGCCAACTCAGCTTGTAGACGGCCTATCTGCTCCTGCATCTCCACTCGCACTCTGCTCACTTCAGCCACTTTTTCCTGGTCCTTGCTGCTCAGCAACTGCGGAGTGAGGGGGATGAGATAGAGGCAGGGCGGGGCATCCCAAAACCTGTTATCCCTAAAGCGCGGCTACCTGCTGCAGCTCCTCCAGGCGCCGCTGCTGCCCCTCCACCTGCAGGTGGAGCTGGCTGGCCCGCGCCTGGGAATCAGCCACCATCTGCTTCTGCTGTGTGCAGACACCCTGAGCCTCATCGCGCGCTTGTGCCAGCAGTCGCAGCTTCTCCTCCATGTGCGCCAGGTGCTGTTGCTGTGGACACAGGAAATGCTGCAGCACACATGAGTGTTTCTGCTGGAGTTCGCAGCTGGGGGCGGGGGTCACTGCATGCAGACTGACTCCACTCCACTCCACTCCACACAGGTGGAGGGAGAATGGAGCAGGATAACACAAGTTATCACTTATCTTGTTCTGAAGCCACTGAACTCTCCAGGACCTCCAGCAGCATCCCCAGGCTGGCCCCACCCATTGCCTGCTGTCTGCGTCACCTTGTCTGAGCCTTCCAGCTCCAGGCTGTTCCAACCCTGTGTCGGCTTCTGGCATCTCATGTACCCTGAGCCTCTGTCTCTGGGGCTGACAGTCCTAGTTTCGTCCACTCAAGCTTTGAGCTTGGCTCCCAGGCAGGAACTGTACCAGGCTATGAGCACCTATTGCTGCAGCTCACCTCTTCCAGGCGGGCTTGGTTCCTGGCCTTCACCAGCTCCTCCTCAGCCTGGCCACGCTCACTGAGCGCTGCTGCCTTCACGCGGCTCAGCTCCTGCACCATGGATGGCCATCTGCTAGCCTTTCCTGCTGCCCCTGGCCCAGGACCCCTTCTGGGATATCCAACAGCCAGCTGGAAGAGTCTCCCCTCCCACACAGCTGTCCCTCCTTCATTGGGTAAGAAGCTCCTTGGCCCAGGGAGCCTCATTGCCACCCTAAGCCTCTCAGGCCTTTTGGGACACTGGTGGGAGTCCCCACAAGGTCGAGAGCAGGAAGCTGTGTTCCAGGACCCAGAGGCCAGGAACCCTGGGGGTTGCCATCCTTAGCTCACCCAGGGCCAGAGCTTGGCCCTTGCCCATGGGCTCACCTCCTCCAGGGACAGCCGAAGAGCCTCCAGCCTGTGCACCCTTTCCTGCATGGCCTTCTGGCTCTCCTCTAGTTGACGGGTAATACATTCCACCTGCCCCAGTGTGCGCATCAGTTAGGCAGGCAAAGGCTCCCTCAGCTGTCCCACTATGGAATCCCCACCCTGGAAGGCAGACATCTCTAGGGAAAGATCTGCCAAGGATGAAAGGCATGGCTGAGCCCTAGTACCCCACCACATACACCCTGAGGAGGGGAGGCAGGCGCCTCTTTAGCTGCAGCTAGCACAGGCCCAGCTGCCTGCCAGCCCCAACAGATGGCTTTGGCTCTGACACCACTCCAATTGGTGAAGAACAGAAGCAACTCAAGAGTAGTGCGGGGACCTGAGGAGGGCATGCTTCAGGGGACACCGAATCATGCTGAAAGCAATCTATAGGCACTGTAGGGAGCTGGGAAATGTGGTGGCACTAGGAAGGCACCTCCTTGACGTGCAGCTTCTCAGAGTCCTCTAAGCTCTGCCGGGCCCTTCTCTTCTCCATGTCCAGGCGCTCTGGAGGTTGAGTGGGGAGGAGCAGGGGTGAGTTTTCACAAGGGGTGCTCCATCCCTGAGGCTCTCTGTCCCCTCAATGGCAGGCCTGCCCATGTCCCACCCTCAGCCTCGACAGTTCGCATCTTCAGCTCAGCTGATGTGTGGGTCAGCTCCTGCCTGGTCAGAAACAGCTGTTCCTGCTGAGACTTCACCTTCCGCTCCAGCTCATCCACCTGGAAAGCAGGCAGAGGGGGAGGGAGCTGGGGCAGCCTCCAGCTCCTACTCCAGGTACCCTGGGTGGCTGCCCCCATGGTCCTCCTACCTGGTTTCGAAGCAGCAGGTTCTTTTCATTGGTGGCTGACAAGTCCCTGAGGAGCTTAGACTCCCGTTCTGCAGCATCCTGAGATGGCCACATCCAGTCACCCTGCTGTCCCACACCCCACCTGCCTGTCTGTCCGCCTGCAGCCCTGTCCCCACCTGCTGTCCCAGCCTGTGCTTCTGCTCTGCTGTAGCCAGCAGCTCTCCCAGGTCCTGGGCCTTCTGGTCAGAGAGAGCCAAGGTGGCCTCAGTCATTTGCAACCTGCAAAAAAGAAGGGCCAGCATGTGCGTGGCTCCATGGGGGATGTGACCTGCCTTACCAGGCTCCCATTTCACTCCTGCCAGGCCCCTATCCAGATGCTAGCCAATGCTCAGCTCCTATAGAAAGCCTTTCTGAGTCCCTGTCCACTACTGCCTGTTCATCTTCTACCCTGTGAGCACATCTGCAGTCTCCATGAGGCTCTGAACCACCCACCCACACACAACTGCTTACTTGGCCTTGAGAGATTTGATGATGGAGTGCCTCTCATTCAGGGCTTCCTGAAGCTGCCCCATACGTACTGCCACTGCCCTGCAGGGAGAGAGGACAGCCTGGAAAACCCAAGGGCCCATCTGGCCCTGGGCACAGCTGCCATACATCAAGGTCTCCAGCACACAGGAACTAAGCTGGGGAAATGTGCTGTACCTACCTTACCCTTCTGGCCACCTCTGTGGAAAGCCTACCCTGCGACCCTACCTCCCACAGTCCTGGGCCCACTTACTGGCTGTTCTTGGCCATCTCTTCTCGCTGCTTATCAATTGTCTCCATCAAATCCACAAACTGGGAAGAGAGCCAGCCAAAGCCCTGTCAGGGTTGATTCTACCCATCCTGCCCTCGACAAGAAAGGAAGGCAGGCTCCCATCGCAGCCATGCAGTGAAGGACTCAGCCTCCCTGGTCCCACTGTCTCATTCAAAGTGAGGTGATTCTTAGAGAGGGAGGCTGGAAAGTCAACTCTCAGGTCGGACAGGGAGACACTTTGGTCCCGGGGGTGGACAGCTCAGAGGAGTTATAGGGTCTGAGGGAAGAAGAGTAGCCATGGAGGAGAGACAAAGAGAGAGAAACCAACCAGGCCCTCCATCCACGGCAGCCAGGGTGGGCTGGGAGCACCATACTTACCTGCTTGGACCTCTCCTTCTGGAGGTGCTGGACCTCCCTGCTAAGGATATGGGTCCGGACCTGGCTCTCTTGGAAGGCAGTATGCTGCTCCTGGTTGTGGTCCATGGCTTGTTCTGTTGGAGACAGAGGAGACTAGGTGAGGGCAGCGGTGAACCCTGCCCTGCTCAGCTGCACTAGAAGCTGGAAACAACCATCTACCGAGACATCTATGACTCCTCATCTCCAGGACACCAGCAGGTGAAGCGCTTCAGTGAGGAAGGGACTAAGTGCAGGAGGTACAGTGTGGCAGGGTTTACACTTGTTGGGGAGGGCTTCCCTATCACAAGAGATGAGCACAGTCTTGCAGCCTCTGTTCCCCCACCCCAACGGTCAGGGATGCTGCATGCCTTTAAGAGGTACATGCTGTGTTCTGGAAAGATCCAGGTGGCTGCAGTCAAAGGCAAGTAAAACAGTTTGGCTATGCTGAGGCACAACTGGGGACAGCAAGGAGCTGGCAGACATCAGAAGGCAGAGAGCGCACAGCACAAGGATGTAGAAGTGTGAGGTCTTCAGTGGAAGAAGACTGTAGAACCCCTGAGGAGCCCGGGAGTGTGAATCTGCTGAGCCTGAGCTCATGGTGTTATCTCTAGGTACTTGGGGGGTCACCAGAAGCAGGGGAACATGGAGGCTGTAGCTCTGACAGAGCAGCTCACACTGCTCATATGCACAGCCACAAAATTAGGGGTGACCAAGAGCTACTTCAGGCATTATCACAGCCACCAATGGAAGGGCTCACCCACACAGGGCCTCAGCCTCCCTGTGAGGAAGGTAATCCTCCTTCTATGCAAGTCCTGAGAACTGAGCAGGCATAAGCCAGCACTCTAGCAAACAGCACTGTGCAGTAAGCAAAATGCCCTGCTTGGCTGCCACTGTTTCCTGCATCTCTCTCCTTCCTCTTGAGGTTTAGGACTACGCGGGGCTACTTGTACAGTGAGCTTACTTGTCCTGAGCCCCAAGCTACCAAATATTTTGCTCAAAGGCCCTCTATTAAAGGCCTTCTGGCCTCCTTCCTGAATGAAAGCAGTTAGCAGCCCTGTGCACTCATACCCACAGCTCTGACGATGTCACCAGGCACATTGTTGCCAGCCAGGTCCAGCCTCCACAGGGTTCTGTTGCTGGGTAGACAGTTCACCAGGGACCTACCACCCAGGAGGCCAATGTTATTCCAGCGCAAGTCTAGAAAGAAACTTGCTGTCACTTGACAGAAGGTACCTGTGGGTAGGGGGAGCTGATCTAGTAGGATATTCCTTTGGGAAACTGCCAGAAAAACAGGCTCCCAAGCCAGCCCCTCCCGCAGCAGAGGGATCAAGGAGCAACGGATACAGCCCGATGCACCAGGCCTCACCCAAATGCTGGAGGGTGGTGTTGCCCCGCAGGGCCAGGGCCAGTTCCTCTGCACCTTTGTGACTGATCTGGTTATTCCGGAGATCCAGCTGCTGCAGAGCACTGTTTGCTGCTAGGCCCCTACAGAAGGTGGCAAAGGCATCTTCCCATGTGCCGAGGTTGTTCCACTCCAGGGTGAGGCTGCAGTAAGGGTAGAGACAAGGTGCTTGGCCTGGCAGGGCACCCTGCAGCATGAAGTTCAGGCGCCATGGGTGGGGAGATAGGTTCAGGGGTCTCTAGCAGAGGCTGGACCTTCCTGAGTGATTTCCACCCACCTACTCCCAACAGTACATGTAAAACATGGATAACTGGCCCGAAGGGGCAAATAGGCCTCAGGACCATGTTCTGTGGGGCCCACCTTGCACCACAAAGGGCTTCGAAGCGCAGTGGGTCCAGGACCACAGCCTACCTCTGAATGGACTGATTCTGTCGGAGGAGTTTTCCCAGAGCCTCAGCCCCTGCAGCCCGAAGGTTATTGCCCTGGATAGAAATGGCCTGGCCAGTCACTCTTGTTACCCAGGTTGGGTTTTGAATAGCACGTGTACTCCACAGGGCCCTGGTCAGAGAGTAGACAAGGCCAGGGAGGCAAGCTCTTGGCAAAGGTGCACTCATCTTAGTTTTTGTGACCTTGGTGGGTGTACTGCGACCAGTCTGTGTTTATGTGAACACTTTACTCTCAAGACACACAGCAATGCAGAGGTCTTCAGACCCTGTTCCCCCTCTACTGCCTGGAGGAAATGCCTACTTACCTTCAGATCCACAAGCCGCATGACAGTGTTGGCACACAGCCCTTGAAGCACCATTGTGAGCCCTGCATAAGGATGTGTGTGTGGTCACTCTCTGCCTGTGCTCAGGGCCCATTGCATGGCAGCTCCCAGAGGGACAACTGTCAGGGTGGTCCCTTGTTCTGTGTTCACACTGGAAACAAGTTCCCCACTCCATTCTATGTTTACCTTTGAAACAACTGCAGGGCCTGCCAGGCACAGAGGCGACCACTGTGACCTCTCATGTCAGAACTCTCAAGCTACAAGTCAGGGGATATTAGGGTTTCTCCTTTCTTGTAAAGAAACTGACCCGGAGCCGGGGATTTAGCTCAGTGGCATACACGCCTGCCTGGCAAGAGCGAGGTTATGGGTTCAATCCCCGGTACCAAAAAGAAAAGAAACTGACCCCATGTCTAGCTTTGGGGGGACACTACTGCCACTAGTAAAGAGGGGGGCAAACCAATCAGGTGGTACAGAATTCCTGCTGGCAGCTTGGAAGATTAAAAGAAGCCAGGGAACCCACTCTCAGGCTGGCCCCTAACAAAGGGCCGAGCCCCAGCCCGAAGTGCAAAGGTGCCCTAGTGCCCACCTTCCTCGCTCAGCATGCAGTCGCTGAGAATCAGCTCCGTCCACACTGTCTGGTTTTGCAGCAGCTTGCCCAAGGCCCAGCAAGTGTCCACCGTCAGGCTTTGCCCAGTCAGATCCAGTCGGCCCTGCAGAGGCTGCTGCAACTGCCGCAGGACTGCCTCCTGCGGCTCGGCACCGCTCTCCTTGCACAGGCGGCTGTAGGCCCGCTGGAGATCCTCCATGGCCCCGCGTGTAGGAGACCTCGCCCGCATGCTCCTAGAAACAGGGCCCGCGTGTGCCGGTTCTCCCTGCGTCAGAGATAGACGGGGGCGAGAAGCGCGGGCCCTAAAAATGGACCTAGGAAGGCAGAATGGGAGTGCGGTGGGGCTGCGGCAGAAGCTGTCTCCGAGCGGGGAGAAAGGTCAAGGAGCAGAAGCCAGGTAGCACCATTGTGACCCCCACCCCGCCCAGTGCTCCAGCCGCCCACGATTCTTGCCCTCGCGCACTTCCGCGGATCCCCGCGCCTCAGTATCCAGGAAGAGCGGGGAGCGCTGGTAAGGGCAGCTAGGACTCTAAATCCCAGCAGGCACTGCAGGGCTAGCCGCGGACCAATGAGAGCGAAGGGCGGAAACACGCGCCCAACCAAGACTGAAAAGCAGAGCAGCGCTATTTGGCTAGGTAGGTGGGAGACGCGGGAGCGGGATACTGGAGGGTGCTCTCTAATTCATTGGCTGGAAGCTCGGGGGCGGGACTCCCGGATGGTGTTTTCCGTCTTCGCTGGCTGAGGGTGGGGGCGTGGCCATAGAGCCCGCGTTCCGTGCTCATTGGCTGGGATACGGGGCGGGGCTACACCAAGGGAGCACGCAGATAGTGGTCATGGAGCGAGCCGGCACCGGCTTCCGGAAGGTGAGGGTTGGCTTTAGGTGGGTGCGGACCCCTTATTCCTCACGTGCCACCGGTGCGTGCCTGTGGCTAACCTCGCGCTGCGGTTCACCCATGCTTCTAAGGGTGGGAGGGCAGCCTGGTCTGCGACTGAGCCGCGGTGTGTGCAGAGGCTGACGGGCCGCGAGGAGCTGGGCAGCGTCAGGCCCTCCCACGCGGCCAGCGCTTCCCTCCGGGTCGGGGCGTGGGTCAAGGCCCCGGCTTCGCTGCCCCGTGGCGGGCGAGCCCGTGCAGAGGACCCAGTGGACGCCACGCCCCGTCCGACCTGAGTCATTTTGCCTTTCGTCAGAAGGTTAGGAGGCGCCCAGCACCCTTCACGTCAGGACAGCGGGAGGGTCCCGGCCACCAGGGAAGGGAGGTCGCGCTGCGCTCGTCCCAGAGGCACTTGGGGGTCATCGGTGACGGGGCCTGGGCCACTGCTGGAGAGGGGCATAAACCAAGCCTGCCTGGTCAGCTCGAGTGCCAAGGGGTCCAAGCCTCCTCGCCAGGGCAGGAATTTAGCGCGTCTCAGGCTCCTTTCCGAGGCCGCGTTCTCATGTACGTGGAGCGATTCGTAGAGCTGCCGTTTAATCTCATATATTGTCCCGGAGCCCGCAGGTTCTCTGTTGCCTTCCTGATATAACGCGAGATGAGCGGGCCCAGCAGGTGGCGCTTCAACCCCGTGGTGCTTGACAGGGACCCTCCAGCCCTGGTGAGGCAGGACACCTCGCCTTCCACTGTCTGGGCTCCTGGGTGCCCAGTGCTGTTGCCACCTTTCCCTGCGGTCTCCTGCAGTGCCCTGGGCAGTGTTGGTTGACAGACCATCAAAGGGGCTGGCCACCCTCGGGAACAGGTGCCTCCTCCCAGAGAGCAGAGAATTTTTTTCCCCTCTTGCTCACTGGAGCCCCAGAAAGCAGAAAACTGGGCCCTTCCCTAACTGCTCACTACGAAAAGGATTCTCCAGTACCCTACTGAGCGAGAGGCCTCATGTGGCAGCAGCTCCAGCCGAAGTCTACCCCAGGCTGAGTCGCTGATTCTGAAGGTGCCCATGGGGCTGGGGCTGGCTGGCACTGAGCCCTCCCTCCCCGCAGGAGCTGGTGAGCAAACTGCTGCACCTGCACTTCAGGGATGAAAAGACCAAAGGTGAGGGCCCTGGAAGTGGGGTGGCAGGCGAGGACTGGAAGTGTGGACCTTTCTAACCTGCTCTCCCTCCACAGTCGGTGGCGATGCCCTGCAGCTTATGGCAGAGCTGCTGAGGATCTTCGTTGTGGGTGAGCCCAGGGTTGGTGACCACCAGAACACTTGAGACTGCTGGTTTTTATATTTTGGTGAAAAAACTAAATTTTTCCGTTTCCCATGAGCACCTGAGTTCAATACTCTGAGAAGCTGTTGGGGTGGCATGGGGCCAGACTCAAGCACCCAGTACCTGCTATCTCACTTCCTTGTGTTACATTAGAAGCGGCTGTCCGTGGGGTGCGGCAGGCCCAGGCAGAAGACGTGACCCTGGTGGACATCGATCAGCTGGAGAAGGTGCTTCCTCAGCTGGTATGTGGGTATGGGTCCATACATGGCGGCTGCAGTGGCCTGGGGAATAGTGCCAGGCCACTTACACTAGGTACCCTTTTTCCTCACAGCTCTTGGACTTCTAGGAGTATCCACCCCTCCCAGGAAGCTAGTATTCCCCTACAGGCTGCTGTTGACCCTGTGGCCTGCAGGGTCTGGGCTAGATCCATACCAACACTGAGACCTAGTCCCAACATGGTTCTTTAGCCTCGGAGGAATGACGGGATCCTGGAAGCTGTTGTCCTTCCTAGTACCCCTTTGGTCTGTAGCTCATAGGCCCCTGGGGACAGTCCCTGTGGGTTCCAGGGAAGCAGGTGCAGTGGGCAGGGGGACTGATCTGCTTCCTGGCCATGGCAACCCTAAATAGCCCATGTGTTTTACAAACCAACCAGCTGCCTTACTACCCCAACATCAAAGTTGGTGTGGAGTTTTAGCCACCTGATACTTCCCTGAGCTATAACTTTGTCCTCACAAAGCAACATCAATAAATTAACACCTGTCTCCTAGGCTTGACTTTCTTTTTGCCGTTAATCAACCAAAGTCAACTTGCTTTGAAGCCTCACCCTATTCCCTCTCATCTACAGTGTCTTGGTAGGATGCAGGCAGAATACTAACAAAGGGTAACAAGACATGTGTGGCCCACTGTCTGCTGAGGAAACCAGAGCCCTCACACATGGCTTGTTTGCCTGGGAAATGTCGTGCCCACCTTGGGCCAGTTAGGATTAGGGTGAGGACCAGGACACACCAAGTGAAAATGTGAGGAACCTGGGAACCAGCTGCCAAACCGTGTGTCTGCCCTGAAGTTAGGAGCCTGCCCTCATCCCTGCACAGCTGCAGGCCACCCTCACTGACCTGGGAACTCTACCTAAGCCTGGCAGCCCACTGAGCACAGGTGCTGGCCAGCCAGCTCTGCTGGTACCAATGCTTAGGCAAGCTGGGGCCCAGCACCCTGCTAGGTGACTTGGATCCTCTCCCTGGAACTCTCCAAGCTGCTGTCGGTGCCCAGGGCAGAGGCATTTAGCTTTGTGGCAGTTGTCAGAGCTCAGACTATAGGAGCCACAGATTTCTTGGTCCATGTCATTCGCTGTCCCATCCCCCTGGCTTCTGGGGAGTGTACACAGTTGGGCCTCGAAGCAGCTTTGGAGGACCTCAAAGTAGCCTGAGATAGCAGGTTAGTTTGCAAGGAGACTTCATTCTGTACTTCTGGCCTCCTAGATGGAGAACTAAGGTTCAACCAGAGAGACTTAAGAAGCTAGTAAGCATACGGCTCTAGCCTGCCAGACCTTTTAGAGGCATATCCAAGCCCTTGTTACCAATAGCCATGGGTGACAGCAGGTGAAACAAGGCCTAGTGGCCTTCTCTGCAGGAAGGACAATTCAGAGGACTTGAGTGTGTCTTTATTCCTGCTTGGGGTAGAGGTAGGTTCCTGCAGCTGGCAGGCAGCACCTTTGGGCCGGCAGTTTTCACCTCTTGCTGGCTGCAGCACAAACACACCAGGTTCACTGTAGGTCCTAGATTCCTGCCAGCTATCCTGCCCCACCCAGCCAACCCATAGTAGGTACCTGTCAGCTTCAGCCACTTGGGCACCTTGTCCAAGCTCCTCTTCACAGGCTGGCCAGGCCCTGAGATGGCCTCAGGGGTGCTCACTGACCCCTCTTCAGCAGTTGGCTTCGACTCAAGAGGCGCAGGATCAGGGTCTGGTGGTGGTGGGGACCTGGCAGCCCTGGACATGCACCTGGGGGAAAAGGCCCAAGCCAGGGTGGCAGGTGCTCCCTGGGAGGTGTTCCCTTCTTCCTTGAGCACTTACCTAGCCACCAGCAGGTCAGCTGCAGATGGGGAGATGGTGCGTCCCAACAGTCCAGGCTCCAGGTAGATACCTGCAAAGGCCCAAGCCTATCTAGCCACAGGTGTTCCACTCACACCTCAGCTTCTGGAAGGGGTGCCTCAGCAGGTGGTGCCCCAGGGAGGCAAGTGTCAGGCTATACATCCCCGCAGACCCACATGAGGTCCCCCACTTTCCTTTCCAGGCCATCCAGGTTGGGGACATCAGACACACTGGGGTGCAGGGCCCAGGAACAGTTGGCTGTGCTCAGCAGAATAGAGCCACCACTTACCTGCTGATTCCTCTGCTCCAAAGTACACAAGGGCTGTGGGGAAGAGATTGGCCTGTAGGGAGGCAGAGGGCTCAGTGGGCAGGCAGAGACTCCATGAGGCTGGGGGATCTTGGCTATGGCTCTTTCCTCAGGCAGGCTGGCCAGCCTGGACCAAAGGGACCCCCACCCACCAGTTGAGGAGTCGTGCTCCCCTGAATGAATGCCTACATTTCCCTTCACCTTCTTCTGCCTCCTGCCCAGCATTAACCAAGGCTGGGCATGGTGGTGCATGCCTGGAAGCTCAGCACTTGGAAAGTTGAGGCAGGAAAATTGCTGCAATGTTCAAGGCCAGCCTAAGCAACATGGTGAGACCCTGTCTCAAAAAACAAAAAAGCCAAATCTTTTAAGAGATCAGTCTCAAAGCTCCCTGGGAGTCTAGTGGGACATCCTGCCCAAGAGGTCCAAGAAGACAGGACAGGGTGAGGACTGCACTGAAACACAAGTGTGAAGCTGCTGTTAGCTTCCTCTGCCATGGCCACCCAGAGCGGGCAGCAGTTTGGGGCTGACCCCAATTGCTTGGGCACAGGTGGGGGTGTGCAGTAGTGCCCAGGCATACGCTCTAAGGCCTCCCTGACAGATGGCTAGACAATGACGCAGCATCAGAGCCGCAATGCGCAAGAGCCACCCCCCTCCGCCCCCAAGTATCATGGTGTCACACCCTCCCTTCCTCATACCAGAGTGGGTCTGGAGGTGGGCCCTGGCCCATGTGGCCAAACTCAAGACCACTTCGGACACACCAGCTCCAGGAAGGGGCCCGCAGCTGCTGGCTGAGGGCTAAAAGCTGTTCAGCCCCAAGCTGCTGGAGTGCCTCAGGCTGTGGGGTGGGGGCTGGGGTGGGGATGTTAAAAGATTAATAAGAGCAAGCTTCAAAGGCTGGGCCTAGGAACGCTGAAACCTCAGCTCCAGCCCACAGCGAAGGACACAAACAAGGGCGGTGAATGCTTTGAAACCCAACTGTGAAGCCTGCATCAAAGCTGTGCAGGAGCCTGGGGGTGGGGGAGGCTGCCCTGGTGTGTCTGCAAAGGAACTGGAAGCTCAGGAGCTAGGAAGGAGCACGGCATGTGTCCTGGCCATGGCCATGTGTCCACCCTCAGAAGCCCAAAAGTGTCCCCACTACAGAGAACCAGGCCAGGGTTCACAGGCAGCTCCCCTAACTCTTGGCTCTCCAGAGAAGCCTGGAGCCCTGGGCTTCATCTGCTCCCCATCCACTGCTAGCCACAGGGTCTTCCTCAGAAGCTGCTTAGGGAGGCCTTGCAGCAGCCCTGGTGCTCACTATGATGCCCTCCCATGGGCCCCTTGCCTAGCACTGCCTGAGAGAGGGAGCAGAGGTGTGGGAAAGGGAAGGGGCTGTCACACTGCTGGGCAGGGGCACTTGGCCAGTCCCTCAGCCTATCCCTACCTATGCTTAGTTTCTGAGGGACAATGCAGACTGCAGTAATGAGGGAACAGAAGTGACGGGGCAGCAGATTAGGTGGTGCCCAAGCTGGGCAATTTCCAGAGACAGGGCTCCAGATGGGCCCCAAAAATGAGCCTCCCCAAATCTCACTACACCTTCCTCTTCTCCCCGTGGAAAACTCCTGAGGCATCTACCGCATCAGGGGCCCCATCAGGAACGCCCTACCTTGGTTCACAACCTTATAGCCACGCAGGAGAGAAAGACTGATTGGGGGTAGGGGTTGCTTCTCTCACTCCAGGCACTACCATGTGTGGCCAGGGTCAGGGCCTTCCCCTAACAAGGCAGGGGACACTAAACGTCCACAGAGAGGCTCATTGGTCCCTTGTAGCCTGAGGCCCTGTGATGAAGCTTGGTCTTACTGCATTCAGGCTGGGGGATATGCCAGAGTGATAGCACTGTCCAGTCTTGCCAGCAAGCTGGGGCCCAGCTCTGCCCCTCATCAAGAAGGGCCAGCCTAGGGGCACAGGGCTGAGGCCCTGGGGAAGGACCTTCCCTCAGAGCAGAGCCCGGCAGGCCCCTCGTGCACCAGGCCTCCCCACCTCCCCCCAGTGCCCACCCGAAGTCCTGCCCACTGGCTTGGGTCTCTGATGTCCCCACCAAATGAAGGACAACAGAAGAGCAGCCTAACCAACAGAAGTGGGTTCCATGCCTACTCATCTGAAGCTCAGTAGACCACTCCTCAAACACTGGCAAAGGCTCTAGACCCTGGCCCAGTCCTACCTGCTACCCCCAGCTCAGAAAAAGGTGGGGATAAATATCCTATGGCTTGACCTCAGGGACAATGGAAGGGGGTAGGCAGGGGACACAGGTGGGTGACAACTGATTCACGGTCCCCAGAACACATCAAGAGAGGTGAGCCCTCTGTGCTGTGGGGGCTGTCACCCAGGGCCTCAGCCACTTTCCAGCGGGCTAACTTCCTGCCAGGGTGGAAGGGTCCCTTTGTGAGGTGGAAGGTGGGGGAACAAGAGGGCAAGGCCAGGACTCTAGTACTCAGGGGCAGGAAGGTTTGAAGCAGGGGCTTGAGACATCTGTTCCCATGTTCTCCTGGTCCCCTCCTTACTCCTGACTGCCCCCAACGACCCTCTCAGAAAACTACGCTCTCTTTGTCCAGTGCTGACCCACAACCCCCACATTGTCACTGGCTGCAGCAGTCCAGCCCCAGACACCCCTGGGCCACAGGCAGCCAGAGCACAGCCCTGACAGACACGAAAGCTCCGCCCGCCAGCCCACTGCCGCTGGGGGTGGGGGCACGCTTCCTTCCCTCCACCCTGCCAGCTCAGATGGCAGCCGGCTCCAGGCCGAACTGACAGATGAAAGGAGACGGCTGCTGGAGGCAGGAGCAGAGTGTCACCAGGAATCACGGCTGGCCGGACAAGGCATCCCAGGGCTCTACAGGGCCTCCTAGCTGGGTAAAGGGGGCTGGTCCTCCATCCCAAATGGTCTCCCAAACTCAATGTTTATCAACAGGCTGGCCAGCAGGCAGGGAGAAGTGAAGATGGAACTGAGCTCTGACGACTGGAGGGGTCACAGGCTCGACCCCCGCCCCCACCCCTTTCCCCATGGTCCCTGGTAAGTTTCCAGCGGATCCTCTGCTCCCTGCCCACTTCATGCCCCGTCTCACCCCAACAGTGTGGTGGCTCCTGGCTGCCAGCAGACTGTTACCCCTAAGCCAGATCTCGGCAGAGGCCTTTGGCTGCCTCTGTTGTTAATTAAAATATCTGAAGGACTGTGAAGAGGAAACCATTAGGCCTGAGTGGTACAGAGGTCTCAGCTGTGTGGGGGCAGGAGGGAGCGACAACACAGGACATTCATCCCTCCCAGCTCTGGGAGGCAGCTCCCTGGACATAGTATCACAACCCTCAGGACTTTTAGGGCCCTCCGGGGCAGGAGAAAATGG